GTAAGTAAGAACTCTGATGCACCCGTTTCGGAGTTTATTTGCAAAATTTATTAATTTATAAGTATAGATTATAGTATTGGATAGACAGGGAAGATTTTCCCTTCAGAGTCTGTAGTTTATTTTAGGTTATATCGCTTTAAACCTCATTATAATATGCTACGTTATCTGATTGATTCTAGACAGTACGTCACGTGACAGGGAACTGAAACTTCATAATTCCCTCTTTTCTGTAATCTGTGATACTTATTACTCATGGTTATCACTTTTTGTTATTATTCATCTATGATGAAAAACGTGTTAAAAAATAAACATGAAGTTTAGTTATTTTTAAAACTTGTCGAATGTGGTAGAAAATAACAGGTTTCTATTTTAACCTCATATTGTTTCGGTATATAAACAATTATTGCATGAATGTTTTGGAGATATGAAGAATTCTATTCACTCAAGAGGGCAAAATAGGGAATCAATATGATTTTTATTAGATGAATAGATCTTCTCTCTTTATCATGCAATGAATATATACCATTCAATGACGTTTAGCACAAAACTCTACAATAACATTTTACATTTAATTTGATTATTTTGAAAGGGGAGGGATGTTTCTCTTGGACACATGCATAACACATTCGAGGTTAATTTTCGCTTGACCGAAATAGTCCGGACAAAGAATAATTAATGTAAGCAGCTAGTAACAACCGTTAGAGCTATTCACTTTCGTCCCCTGAAGTCGCCGAAAAATGGTAAAATATTGCCGACTCAGCGAAATTAAATAATCAACAGTTATTTTCTCTCACAAGCTATGTTGCTGAGAACATCATTGTCTTTGCTAAAACGTTGGAGGCATGTTGAATCCAAAGGAAATTTTAATAATTTAAAAAAAGAAAAGAAAGAATATGTCGCCTTTTATAACTTCTGGGAATTAGCTTTAATTGTCATTCTCTATTTATAAAACATATGTACTGGTACAAAATATATGTAAGGAATGCTATTCAACGACAAAAAATAGATTCATAACACCCCCACCTCCGAAAAAATACTAAATAATATACGCGTTATATTAGTTTTTGCCGTAATTTGAAACATTTAACCATTAAATAGTTTATACATTTTGTAATGAATTATTTTTATGCACAAGATGAATGTTAAAGCAATTAATGACGCATAATTAAATACGATAGAAAACCCCCTGTTTAAATGTCAGATTATTTTGTGTGTGAAATGTTTTTCCGTATAAATTGAATTATTTACAAAATGTTCATGTTTGTCGTATTGATGTGGAAATATTATAAATTCCAGACTTCTGATATTTAATAGTTCTGTTGTGTTGGGTATGAACATGAAGAAGATGCAAATACGATTTCACGGATAATACCCGACTTCGAGTATTCTCTCCAACCTGTTACATGCATATATACATACTTCTTTAGCTAGCTTCTGAAAGCATGACTTTCCCAAAGTTTTGCCTTATATACCCGTTGGTTTGGCTAGTCCATTCTAAGGGTTGTCAGGTCATTCCACTATTTGAAGTCTTCAATGCGTTTTACTCAAATGCCCCTTTACCATTACACCTTATTCCTATGTAAAACTTTGACCCAAAGTTTTGGCCCCACCCTACCCCCGGGGGTGATGTTTTGAACAAACTTGAATCTATACTATCTGAGGATACATCTATATTATTAAGACTAATATTGGCTTAGCTGTTCTCAAGAAGAAGATTTTTAAGGTCATTTCCTATATATTCCTATGTAAAACTTTGACCCCCTCTTGTGCCCCCGCCCTACCCCTGGAAGTTATGATACGAACAAACTTAAATCTAGAGTTTGGAATAAAGCTTTCACATAAGTTTCATCTTTTCTTACTCAGTGGTTCTTGAGAAGATTTTTAAATGATGCCACCAAAATTTTCACAAATTCTTAATTATCTCCCCTTGAAAGAGGGCACGGCACTTCCTGTGAACAAATTTAAATTCCCTTTACCCAAGGACGCTTTGTGGCAATTTTGGTTCCAGTGGTTCTTGAGAAGAATTCGAAAATGTGAAAAGTTTACAGACGACAGACGGACGCCGGACACTCTTTGATCAAAAAACTCACTTGAGCCTTCGGTTCAGGTGAACTAAAACAGTTTTTTGCCTGCGCTATATGCCTGAAGTCACAAAAGCCACATTAGCTTCTAGGGCTGATACGAATGCCACAGAACTGATATGGGTCTGCTGGGCTGACACGGATTTATATCATACCCCTTGGAGATTAATACTTACAAAACTGTATTTATGATAATACACCTGTTTTTTACATTCTCTTAAATTCAAATTACTGCTCTTTGATTTATTAAGCTAGTCAGTAATTATTTATTTGTATTTGCTAAAGTAAATGTGTACTGTATTTTATTACTGAGTATGTAATAAACATAATAAAACATAATCTTTTCAATATCACATCCAGTATCAGCCCTCGACCAATATCAGCATCCGGACCTTCCTGACATCTTCCTGATATTTTGTGTCTCGGGCTGATACATGATGCGATATGGAAAAGGTTTTTTTTTTCTCTACATATCTCAATAGAAAAAGGATGGGTATATACAGGGGTTTTTATGATGATACACAGGCACATGTTGAAGTCAGACAGAAGCCGTACAATACATGTATCTCAGAGAAACTTTTATAAAAAGAAAAAATAACATAACGAGAGTATGTTAAGCCTACCCATAAATTCTAACTGGCCTATACAATATATTTGAAAATGTACTATTTGTGGAGGACCGGTTTCCACGTCCCGCATATATAAGGATTCAAACCCTAGACGTAAGGATGAATTCCTTACTCCGCAAATCTAGAACAAACGCTATAACCAATGCGCGACGCCGGCAACTCCAAATGAAAATGAAAAGTAAGGAGAATTCATGAAAACCAATTTATGCAATGGAAATGAAAAAAAGCATACCGTGAATATCATAAGAAATTTAAGTTTAAGAATCAGGAACGCTGATTTATTTCCATCACTTTTTGTAATGAGGAAACCCAGATCTTTCAACTGGCGTCATAATTTCATTTATATCATGAATTGTTTGGAAAATTACGCCAGGCGGTGAGCCAAACATGAAAAAGAAAATCTTGGCACTTTGTCAGAATGGATAAAAAGTATCAGATGGTTGTTGAAATCTCGCATTAAGCGACTGAGAGGCAGTATGAAAATCTTCTATCCTTCTGTTAAAAAAAAATCAGAAGTGAAAAAAGAATTAGATAGATTACACTATCAATATGTACTTATCCCAGCTGCCAAAGCAGGTGACAAACTTGCCTTTGTTTGTAAGAATCATTATTTTAACTGTTTTAGAGGAGCTTGGATTTAATTCAACAAGTAATAATCCAATTCATACCCATAGCTCCCTCTCTAAGAAGGAAATTCTTCACAATCATATGTCAGTTTTTAATATTTTTAATATTCCCAACAATCAAATTGAATTTGAATTACCTTACCTATACTGGATTCCTAAACTACGTAAAAATACTTACAAACAAAAATACAACAATCTGTCGGAATTTCCATGGGTACCTATTGCGCCCCGTTATTAGCAGACCTTTTTTTGAATTCATATGAAGCAGATTTTATTCAGAAACTTTTACGTGAAAAGAAGAATTCTCCTGCTGTGGCCTTCAATTCAACATTTAGATATATCGACGATGTTTTATCAATCAACAATACTCATTTTCGTTCCTACGTTGATTCGAGATATCCCCCTGAACTCAAAAAAAAGATACCACAGAATAAAACACACCTGTTTCATAAGTGGAAATTTTACTAGAAAAAGACGTAAATGGTAGCCTAACGACAAAACTTTATGATAAACGTGATGACTTTAACTTTTCTTTCGTCAACTTCCCTTATTTATGTAGCAATATACCATTGTCATCTGCATATGGAGTTTGATTCGTTACGCAAGAGCATGATCTACGTACGAACAATTTCTTAAACTAGGCAAGCTATTGACAAACAAGTTGATGAAACAATGATTTGAACAGTCTCGTTTAAAGTCAACATTTCGCAAATTCTATTATCGATATACATGTAATGAACTAGCCAGGAAACATAATCTCTCAACTAAGTCGAATATGATGACTGACGTTTTTCATACAAATTATTAGGCCATTATTTACACGCTGAATCGTCGACGGATTTTTTTTCTTTGCCCGATCATGACAAGGAGCACACGACGGGTGTGACCGTTCGACAGTGGGGGCTTACTTCTCCATGGCACCTAATCCCACCTCAGATGTTTTTTGAGGTCCATGTTTGCTGTGCTCCAAATTTGTATTGTGCCAATGGACTTTTGAGCTTGATAACTACTGTTCGTTATCTCCATATTTAATTCCCGATAATGAAGGCAAGCCTTTCATGTCGCTCTTAACAACTAAAAAGCATAAGTTCAACACTACGCCGCATACATACGTTCTAAGACTAAAGTACTTGGAAACTGCTAATAGAATCGTGTGGTTAAAATGTATTGATGAAAATTCTTCGTATATACAAAATGTAATAATTGTTGTAGGTTTTCATGCATAAATAATGTGGAATAATTATTTCTGTGACAGGAAAGTAAAATTCTAGCTGCATATTTTATGGCCCAGAAGTGTTTTTACATAATTATTTTTACACACAATAATGATTTATCCCCAGGGGTAGTGTTGAACTTTGCACTTTTTCATTAAGACATACTTTCGTTTTTATAGACATCGAATGATGATTTCGTATTAGATTGCTTCTTTAGGTCTAAGACTCATGGACGTTTGTGCAATGGAAATTTACAGTAAATGTTTTATACGTGGCTCTACTGATTTACCAATGTTACATTTTACAAAAAAATGTAAATTTGCAGAACAATGATCTTGGTTCTGCCTTAACATGCCCGCGTAATCTCTAAAAATAAGCACAGTTTATAATACAAGGTATTTGATAAGACAAAATCTAATAAATTCAATTTAGATTCTGATTGATACATACAGTCAATATGTAGTCTTTGCCTTGAAGAGTAAAATCTTTGCCATTCAGGGTGAAGCTAACAGGAGGTAAACGTGGAATGCTCGAACAGTTTACTGTGTACTGTAAAAGATTATACTAGTATCCAAGCCACCTTTATTTTGAATATTTGATAATATGGTTATCAAAAAAGTCAAATTAGAAGTTTTACATTATTTCTGTCACTAAGGATAAATATGAACATATCCAATTTGTGTTTTTGTCAGAGAGTTTTTGATTTTAAATAATGAATCATTTGACAGCTTTTCAGAAAAGAGTATAATGATTCTATGTCTGCATGTTACTTTAGTACTGGTGAAATAAAAGGGAAAAACTCAAACAAATGGATGTCATACATCTCCAGATGTGGAGGGCTTTGCTCCTATTGCTTGGTTGAGGGACTTGATTTCTGAGGATGGGCCAGTAAGCCAGGAGACTCCAGTATCAACAATAACTTGACAGCCCCCGGAGCAGCATTTAGAAGTTTTACCATTAATCTTCACTCTGAAACGAGAGAGGAACCTCCTGAATCCTCCAGCAACCTCAAGAATAACTAGAAAACCGAAACAGTCAGGGTGGGCCCTGTTGAGGGCTTTCGAAAAAAAACAGACAACTGCACTCAATACAGTTATGTTTAGAACATAACATTTAAGGAAGGTGACATTGAACAATCACCAACGTGTGTTAGAATTATTAATATTTAAAGATTGGATATACATACAGATTTACCCCCAAAGACATAGAGATAAAACTATATTATCACAAAATTAATAAGAGTCTTTTCTTATAATCAACTCCTGTAGAAAATTTTTGTAAGTAAGAGTGCCATGATATATATACGAGGGTTGTCCCAAAATTCCGTAGACTGAGCTCATATCTTTTAACAAGATTGAACGTATCTCTCCAAAATTTTCTGGTTGGATGAAGTGTGTTATTGTTTGGTAAATTACTAAGTTTTAATATGAATGCTTAAAAACAATTTGAGTAATTACAATTTCAGTATTACCGTTCCTTAACACCCGGAGCAATCTCCGACGTCAAAAAAGATGCACTTAACGTCACCAATTTTGATTGAAGTGGTTTCACTAATTAAAAGAATCATTTTTTTTATTTATCATAAACATTAAAGAAATACATTAGAAATATCATAATTGCTATGATACGATTTTACATTAGAAAATACAAAGTATGCACATGTATATATATCCAATAATAACGATTTTAAAAACCTCATGTCTCTAAGGGTTTTTGATTTCTTTGTCTTCTGAAATGGAGTTGCAAAATCTCACTTTGACCCCGATTCAGTGCCCTTCGCTTCGGGCGGTCTCTTATTTAGTTTCGCTTTTCACAAACTTAGAAAATTTTGATACACTAAGGACCGAAAGACATTTCCATGCTTACCAAACATTTATGATTTCTGCGTTTCTGTAGGAGTGAATTCAAGTTCAGAACATTTGATCACAGTCCAGTGCGCCGCCTGTGTCCACACAGGCGCCATTTTTCGACTGGAAAGATTTCAAATTGGTGCATATAAAACGTTATAAAATTCATATTTTAGTTTGTGAGGGTCCGTCCCTCGCGATTGTTTTTAAGCGCTTGAAGCGTCTCGAGCGGGCTTGGAAAAGTTCTGGATGCACAGGCTGAAGTCATTCCGCCCTAATGGTATTAAGAAATTAAATGACTTCACCAGGATGAACGTGAACTAGACCCAATCCCGGATTGTAACAAACAAGTTCATTCTCTCTATATAGTGTAAACTTTACCGTTAATTCGCATTAGCAATTCTGGAACAACCTACCCAAATATTTACAGCTTACTTTTTTGTTTATTTCTTTTATCCGATTTCCAAATTTATAATATATCCAAATTCATATTTTAAAATTGCCCTTCCATATTATCTTTCTTCAATTTCTTTTTATCATGTATAGTTACGCTATTTTGAGAGAATAAGACAATGTACGAATTACTGCTTGGTCGTAATTAATTAGCGATAATTAATTCGTTCAATTATGTAAATCGCACTTCACCAGAGTACACCCGATAGACCGGACGCAATTCATAGCGCTCCGGATTTCTTTGTTCACAACTGTTTATAAACTTCAAATTAAACATGTAACACTGTAAATATTTAGTGTTTGTTAGTTTAGTAGTAGTGCTAGTTGTTTTTGTTTCTCTATTTCCTTTGTTTTTATGACTTTTTGACTTTTTCCTTTGTCCTGAGGAAGGGACAGGTCGTCTCGAAAATTTGACAATTATTATTGTTCGTGTCGTTGGTCATTTTAGTGCTTTATATATATATATATATATATATATATATATATATATATATATATATATATATATATATATATATATATATATATATATATATATATATATATATATATATATATATATAAAGCACAAAGAAATTCACTTTTTTATAAGGATACCCACTTCCGCCCCAGCCCGGGGTTGAACTCTCGACCTACGGAATCTGTCTCCTAGCAGTACAGGAACAGCGCGCTAGACCGCTCGGCTATCTAGGCAAGTCAAAAAAAACTTGCTTTCGATGCCGATGGAATTCTCGCGGCGCTGTCCTACCCTACACGGTCATTGAGAATGGAAGTGAGATACAGTTATTTGGACATTAGTTTTATTAGAGGATCGTTACCAATACACGTTGTAATGAAATTAATTTTTATTTATAAAGCACATTTTACAACAACTCTTAAACTAACATAACTGCCCTAAGTGAAGGAATATTAATATGGAAAGCACAGAGAAATTCACTTTTTTATAAGAATACCCACATCCGCCCCATATATATATATATATATATATATATATATATATATATATAATGCAATTTGTTCCGAATTTATAGGTGTCTTCCCCTCATAGTGAAGTACTTCTGTTGAAAATTTGAAAAAAAAAATGTACAGCGAAAACTAATGAGTTATCAAGTGATATCAAAAGTGTTGACAGACAGACAGAGAGACATGAAATATATGGAGATAACGAACAGTATTCAAGCTCAAAAGTCCATAAAACATTATAAAATAGGAGCAGAGCTAACACGGACCTTCAAAACATCAGAGGTGAGATCAGGTGCCATGGAGGAGTGAGTATCCCCTGCCAACCGATCACACCCGCCGTGTGCTCCTTGACATATCACAAAATCAGTAGGTGTCTTTATCCTATGGTCTACTCCTACGGTATGAAATTTGAAATAGTTATGATGAAAATATTTTGAGTTGCTGTTGCACACAGTCACAGAACACACAGGGATGGACAGAAAGACGGACAGGCAGAGTTGACTTTATGACAGGTTCACTTTATGCATAAAATTGCCCTGTCCTAATATCAATTAATTGACTATCACCCTCTGTCCCATTTCATATATCAAAATAAAGTAGAGACTTAGTGCTTTAATTTCCTATAACAAAATTTCTTTTTGAGAATTCAGGTATTGGAAAACAGGCTTTGTGAAAATGCAATGTTCTTGAATTTTGCAGAAAACAGGCATAATTGACTACGTTCAGCAAAGAATTAAAATATGAGCACAGCCCTCGATCAAAAATTAAAACATGTTTTAGGATCTTCAGAAACAGATCTTTCATTATGTAATTGCATATTTTGGATCAGAGGTTGTGCTCTATATGAAATATTGAAAAAATTCTCCAACTTTTGACCATTTTTAAAGGAATTTACAGGATATGGTAAAAATGACGCACTTCATGACGTCATAATGCATTGACTACAGAGAAAATTACGTCATGTTTAATAGATAAACGGTTACCAAGGGTGTCCAAGTGATAACTACTGCATTGTCAACCAAAACTAAGCAGTTTCGATTTTTCAGAAACTCACAGGACCAAAAAAGGCCCTAAGTGGCCCTTGCTGTTTATACATTAGTCTCCTTCTTGTACAGTAAAGTATTTTGGTTAAAAATGTGAAAGGTGCAAGGCGCATGACGTCATTATGAGGTTCTAAGTCATAGACGTGTGGAATGGTTGTATACAGAGTTGAAAAGTCGTAAGGTTTATGTTATTGATTTTGGTAAAATTTTGTGATTTCAAATTTTCCAAAGGTTCCTTGGAATTTCTAAGTATCCACATCTGATTGACACCACGAATATATTGTTGCACAGTACTACTGAAGTTTCTCCTTCACTGCTGTTAATATTTCAATGAGGAGTAAAGAAAGGGCTTGTTGGAACATTTACTGGAATCTGCTATGTATCTTTGTCTGTAATGATTTAAATGAAGTTTAGGAATCCGATATAAATATGGTAATAAATTCAAATTCATTTTGGTTGTTGGGAATATTAAAAATATAACTGACATATGATTTTGAAGAATTTCCTCCTTAGAAAGGGAGCTATAGGTATAAGTTGGATTGCCACTTGTAGAATTAAACCCCAGTTCTTCTAAAAGACAATTAAAATAATGAGCCTTACAAACAAAGAGAATGTTGTTACCTGCTTTGTCAGCACTAGTACATACTGATCGTGTTGTCCATCTAATTATTTTTTCACTTCTGAATTATTGAACATAGAAGGATTGATGGTTTTCATATTGCCCTTCAATCGCATAATGCGAGATTTTGACATATATCTGATACATTTAATCCATTCTGACAAAGCGTCAGGGTTTTCTTAGCAATTGGGAATAACTTCTCTCAGTAGACTACAAATTAATACAACCTGCCAAGCGCCAGAACACTTGACCAAGTGTCCAGAATTTTAAAAATCGGTAAAAATACCATTGCTTATTACACCTTTCTTTGCCTCCTAGTTGCCCAGGAACAGAGAAGAATTTCAAAAAATAATGCATTTTCACTATAAATTCAACAAAGCCCCAACACGAGAATTATTTACCCAGGCTCCATAGAATTCAAAATTTGGAAGAAACACACTTGCTAATCATAATTGTGTGCTTATTTTTTTTGCCTAATACCCAGGAGCAGAGAAGAAAATTTTAAGGAATTGATGTATTTTTACAATAAAATCAATAGAGCATTGCCCTAGGACCAGAGGCCTTAGACCCAGGGGCCGAGAAATTCACAATTTTGGAAGACACTCCCTTGCTCATCATAACCATGCAACTCATGTGAGTATGTTTGTTAAAAACCAGGGGCAGAGAAGAAGATTTTCAAACAAATAATGCATTTTCAGGACATATTTAACAGAGCCCCGCCCTATCACCAAAACCCATGACCCTATAAAATTGATAATTTTAAAAAAGGCATCCTTCTTCATCATAACCATCCACATAGTTCATCTGCTATATACCCAGGAGCAGAAAAAAAAAGATTTTTGAAGAATTAATGTATTTTCACTTTATAATCATAGAAACGTGTCCTAAAGCCAGATGGTGTCCACAGTACCTGGTACGGTAAAGTTATTACAACCTTGTATTTTAGTCATTACTCAAAATTTTAAAATCTGACAAAAGTGAAAGAAACTAAGACATTTTAAAAACAATAATATTAATGTTAATTACTCTTCATTTCGTTTTTTTTATGCTCATGGACCACGTGTAGACTAAACTTACCCATCCATTTTAAACTGCCAATAACCCCGTCGAGTCACATTTATGTAGGTGAAGTTACCCGAGTAAAATTTAGGATCACTTCCTCCCAGAATAAGTTCACCCCCCTCCTTTCCAGTACGATTTCTGAAAATGTATGTCATCAAAATTTCATTATTTCATTAATATATTCGATCAGTGCATATTATCTACTAAAGTCAGGTACTCTTCACACAATTGCTCTGAAAAAATATAGTTCTATTATTGATCAGCAAATACATTACAACAAATGCCAAAAATAATGATGTGTATGTCAAACCTGAAAGAAAACGAAATTAACGTAAAATGATTTCAAGAAAATCACCTTTTCCCCAGAAATGCAAATAAAAAGTATTCATATTCCTACGCTAGCTGCCTCCTCAGTCTTTTTCATATATATAGGTCATTCTTCGATTGACAATCTTTTCACCAATTATAGTACTTTCGTGATTATTGTTCGTTAATTGTCATTCAATTTCCTTAAAAAAGAATATTAATCATTAATTTTGTGTGTGTGTGTGTGTGTGTTTTCTGACGTGTTTTTCCGAGCTCGCCGCAAAGGTTCGAGATGCGATAGAAAATCTGATCGCACATGTGTATAGGCTATTTGGTCTTGTGTGCATTCCGTTTGCTAAAGATGCAAGACTGGTGACAGTATTTGCTATGGACAAGTGCAGTTTTGTTTTTCTTTTCTCAGAGATCGTCTGAGCAGAGTGAATATTCGAGTAAATTAAAAGTTGAATATCTTGGATATGGGGTAACCCATATCTATTCTTGTTTATACAACATGAACAGGGAAGAAATATGGTAAATTTTCATTACTAAACAGCTGAGGTATATGTACTTTAAATCACTATGATTCACCTGTTATATATACAAAACTTTTTTTTCAATTTTCTTGTTTGAACGTAAATTTATTATGGAGAGTTCAAATGTTCATCACAATAAAAAAGAGTCAGGGATTAAATAGGTTACTTCACCAAATGAATACCTCTTGATCAAGGAAAGGTATATGAAAAAATTTATACTCTCTAACAAAATAATATAATGAAAACTTTATCAATTACGACCATAAAGTGTTATGAAAACGAACAGTTGTAATGTTCGAAAGTCCTTATTAACGATACAAACTGAGAGCAGAGCAAACAATAATACATGTATAGCAACTGATATCACTATAAGCAGTGAATACATTTATAAACGAAAGATTAATAGCAAATTGAAGAAGATACGGTTTCAATACAAATCGTCCGTGTAATTTTAATCTGAATTTATTGTGAGGAAATGAATCTCATGGTTTCTGAATTGTTCAAATTAGGCCGTATTCTTTCCTTATTTATCACTTTCATATATTCAGCTCATATTTAAGGATGGATTCTTGTCTGTTTTCTGACTAGATGAAATATTCAAAGTATATTTGCTTTATGTCTTATATATTTAGATGTTAGTGATTTAAAAGATCATATTTTTCTTTCCTCATCATAATTGTACAACTTTAAATAGAAATGGTAAACTGAGTTTGAAATCTACCAGGGACTATATTTTTGGCGGAAGGGCGGCGAATGAAAATATCTCCTTTTCTGCTTCTCAAAATTACTATAGAACAACGAATTAAGTTAAAATGTTTAAACAATCAAAGACTAAAAGAAATTTTCAAATGTAAGTAAAAATTAATAATAATGGACTGAAGTTTTAAAATACATAGTATATCAAATAAATTTGATTTTCCAAACAAATACAAACTTCTTAGCTTTTTAAAAGCTTCCAATTTAAGTACAGATTTGAGGAAAAAATCAGTAAAAAGCTTTTTTTCTCTCTTAATAAAACTCAAAAAGTCAAAACTTTTTAATTTTGTATCAATTTGTATATTTATATGAATACTTTTCCATATCTGAAAATAAGAAAAATTTAAATATACGAAGCATATAAAAATAACTAATATATCCTTTAAAAAATGAGAAAAATAGAGAAAAATTCGGATTAGCCAATGTCTATTATAGTTAAATCATTTATGTCAATTTGGTAGTATCATCTGATAGACCCAATATGGTAATATCTTTTTATGCAACAAGAAAAGCATTTAATCTTTAATCTTAGAAGTAGGCATCGCATGATTGACAACAGTTTTTATTCTTAATGTCAAGGAAAGAGATAATGACCTTGACCTGACCTTGCTTCTAAAAAACGGTCAAATTTAATCAAATTGATACCATCACTTAGTGATAATGTTTTCTTGTTTCTTCGAAAGTTTCATTAATTTCTAAATACAAGACATTTGAGAAGAATCCCTCCTTATGAAAGTTTTTTTTTAATGTAAAAGTTTTGGGACAAAAGTCAAAACTGTACCTACTTCTTTATCTGTAAAATATGCATATCCGCCTCTTCAATCGAAACAGATCTTCATGGCAAGAAACTCAAAGTACAATATGTGCACAAAAATATCAAAAATAAACTTGCATATAGGTGTAGACAAAATTTCAAATAATGAATATGGTTTTATGCAAATTTATGAAGTAAAAATGGTGCATTCAGGGACAAGTTTGTTTCGTTAAAAACATTCTAATTCTTCAAATAAGCACTCCGAGGTTGTAATTAAAAAGATGCATGAGTTTGACAGAATGGAATGTTTAGAAAAATTAAAATGCTTGTAAAAAAGCTGCTGGCCTACGTTGTTAATTTGAACTTTATATTAATATATATATATTTTTTTATTACAAGACTCCGTGGTTTAACCTACATAAACAAGTTTACACAGAGTCCGTTCTAACCAACATTAGAAGACTTACAATTCAGATTATCCCAAGTTTCGGTATAGAACTTTGTCCACTGTGATAAATAACAAATGATCATTTTTGCAATCAAAATGTCACTGGTTTTACAGTTTTCTACAGAACATTAAGAAAAAAAAGGTATTGGGTCTAGATTTAATTCTGCATCAGAACGTATATTTATTTTGAATGTTGTCCTATGTTAAAGAAATAAAAAAAAACACGATCAACGTTGACAATGTTGGTTGAAAAACTTTTATAGGAACTACAAAAGGCAAAAAACATGTAATAATGCTCATACACACCTGTCCAGGTAGAAAGAAAAGATGGGTGCTGATACTAGTTTTTGTTTGAGCATGTTGTAGAAGACAGGTAACACATGATCTACTGCGATCTTGGGGTAGGCCATCCCCAGGATTCCATCATATATAGCTGTCGCGAACAAATTTCCAGATTCCTCTGTTACCTCGACAAAGGTCTGGTTCTGTATTTTGATGTCTCCGATCTAGGACATAGGTTAGTTTATGAACAAGATGTATAAGTGCCATTTTAAAACTTATTTAGCTAAAATCTGTTACAACAATAATCAAATAACTGGGTCTCCCCTTCCATAAAAAATACAAAGTAATAGCTACATGTAAGCTATCACTAATCATACACGTTCCTTTTGTAGCCTCGAATGTCACAAATGGGAAGATATGACAATCGGGTTATCCGATAAAATATTTTAGTAATATTTGAAAAAATTATAAGATCTTTTATACAATACAATCCTATTTCTTAACAAAATTATAAATGTTTTAATGGATTTAAAAGGGCCAATGAATCTGGTGTGTGCAAGGTGAAATGGATGGCCTGACAGTGTCAGTGCTTACCACAAATTAACAGTGTCGGTACTTACTGTAGCAGTGTCGGTACTTAACGTAACAGTGTGTGTGCTTACCGTAACATTGTGTATGCTTACCGTAACAGTGTCGGTGCTTACTGTAACAGTGTCATACTAACCATGACAGTATCAGTACATAGCATAATAGTATCGTTGATTACCATAACAGTATCGGTACTTACCATAACAGTATCGGTACTTGCCACAACAGTATCGGTACTTACATTGTACCTTAACGGTATCGGGTACTTACCACAACAGTATCGGTACTTACCTTAAAAGTATCGGTACTTACCTTAACGGTATCGGTACTTACCTTAACAGTATCGGTACTTACCTTAACAATATCGGTACTTACCTTAACGGTATCGGTACTTACCACAACAGTGTCGGTACTTACCGTAAAAGTATATGTGCTCACCGTAATAGTGTCGGTGCTCATTGTTACAGTGTCTTATTTTCTGTAACAGTGTACTTACCATAACAGTATCTGTGCTTACCACAACGGTGTCGGTACTTACCATAACAGTATCTGTGCTTACCACACCAGCATCGGTACTTACCGTTACAGTATCAGTGCTTAAAAATCCCTTCACGGTACCTATTCCGTAGTTAATCTCACACTCTGTTCCATTAGTCCTATACGTTGAGGATTTGGAGCTGTCATATTTATTGTGCAACACTGGAATGATTCATTACATTACTATTTATACATTGCATGTTTGCTACAATTAAAAAACCCCCTTGTTTTTCATTGCAAGGATAGTTTCTCTGTCTGGATTCAGGAAAGGATCAGAATAGGAGTAGAAAGTCCCTAGAGTTTTTTGTCTCCAGTGCAGTGATCGTTAATTTAAATTCCCTTACATTTTATGCTTAAAGTTCCACTTATCTTGATATATGATATAGAAATGAACCACTATGACAAGGCTTACAACAAGCAATATTAGACTGGTTGCATTTCTTTGATGGAACCCAGGAAGTTGAACTACCAGTGTCAAACATCAGTTTAAACTGCTGAGGAGGTGACCCCATTCCAATAACAGCATAGTACTGAATCTGTCAACAAAGTTATAACACAGTTTTAATACCAGGTCTGGACCCTCCTTGGATTTTCAGTTATAAAATTTTTATAGTAACGAAAAAATTACCTTGGAACCCCCCCCCCTCCCCACCCCAGGTAAATGAGTCAAGTATCTAAAGAAAATAGATATTTTAAAGTGGATTGTTCTATCTCTTCCCTCCTCCTAATAGTTTTTTTCAGGTCTTGGCAAGTTGTTTACTGTAATTTGTCAAAAAGTTCCGGAGTCAGAATTTTTTTGAATTGGGGTGGAACCCCCTTCCCCCATCCACCCACCCAGGCCGGGAAAAAAGTCCAGGATCCGAGCATGATATGTTCCTATGTTCACTCACTTCTTTCATTTTCACGTGATTTAGAATAAACAGTACAGTGCCTCCAACGTCATTTTTGACAATTCTTTCGTGTCCTTTCGTTCGTGTATCCTATTGTATCGTGCGTGTATAGGTTTCCCGTTTATCGTGAAGATGGTTTATCAGGTTTGTGTTTATCGTGAAGCTATCCTATCCTTTCGTGCATAAATCCTATTGTATCGTGTATCATGTAAAAAAAATAATGTTGCGAGAACTGTACTAAAATCTTTTAAAATGATGCAAATATGTATGGAAAGCTTCAACTACCTTATGTAGATAATATTCAGTATTTGTGGATACATGTACTTCACTATGGAAAGTTTAATTTACTATAGTGATCACTATGACACTATAGATATCACTATGGAAAGTTTGATTTACTATAGTGATCACTATGACACTATAGATATCACTATGGAAAGTTTGATTTACTATAGTGATCACTATGACACTATAGATATCACTATGGAAAGTTTAATTTACTATAGTGATCACTATGACACTATAGATATCACTATGGAAAGTTTAATTTACTATAGTGATCACTATGACACTATAGATATCACTATGGAAAGTTTAATTTACTATAGTGATCACTATGACACTATAGATATCACTATGGAAAGTTTAATTTACTATAGTGATCACTATGACACTATAGATATCACTATGGAAAGTTTAATTTACTATAGTGATCACTATGACACTATAGATATCACTATGGAAAGTTTGATTTACTATAGTGATCACTATGACACTATAGATATCACTATGGAAAGTTTGATTTACTATAGTGATCACTATGACACTATAGATATCACTATGGAAAGTTTGATTTACTATAGTGATCACTATGACACTATAGATATCACTATGGAAAGTTTGATTTACTATAGTGATCACTATGACACTATAGATATCACTATGGAAAGTTTGATTTACTATAGTGATCACTATGACACTATAGATATCACTATGGAAAGTTTGATTTACTATAGTGATCTTATGAAAACTTTCAAATACTTTAGTGATCACCATGAACACTTTGATTTACTATGGTTTTCAATCTAATATACTTTATATCATTGTATATAAGATGATAACTCTATACAACTTGTTTGATGTTCTTAATGCTATAAATATAATGTTATTAACTAATATAAAAAAAGACCAAGTAAAATAAAAGACAAACTATATTCATTTTAGAAATGTTTAGCCAGTAGCAGTCATTGAAAAACATGAGGTTTCAAAAAGAATCACTAGAAATTAAATTTAGAATAAACTGTACTCCATGCAACGAGCATGAAATTATTTGAAATACAAGACATTAACAAATAATTTTGGTAAAATGAAAAAAAAAAAATCTGTAAAACTTGATGTTATAAATGTTGTGCAATTAATGTGAAATTAATTGAGACTTCTATCACAGAACATTATATACAGTTGTGATAAATCTTTAACTTTGATTAACCATAGTGATCTCTTTGACACTTAAATTTACTTTAATGATAACATTGAAAACTATGATTAACTTTAGTGATAACTTTGACAACTATCATTTACTATTGTGATAATTATGACACTATAGTAATAACTTCGATTGCTATAGTGATCACTATGACACTTTAATGTTTGTTTATTGTTTTAGGTCCCTTTCGAGAATTTTATTTTTCACTCATATGGAGACGCCACCACTTGCTGGTGGAGGACTACAGATTATTTATACCTATACTCGGCACTTACTCGGTTTACACGGTCTCATCCGAAGGATCGGTCTCCACGTCCCAAAGTGGATCGAACCCGCGACGTATATAGATGATTACAAAGGCACAACCATATTGAATTATGAAATCGTTCGATTTTAAAATGTATATGTACATTGAATTTCATAAGGATGAATTTCCACTTTATTTGATAGAGGCAAGGTGAAGTTTTAAAAATTTTGGGGGTAAAATCTCTTTCTTTCTTTCTCTCTCTTTTTTTAACCCGGTCAAAATTAAAATAAGACCTAAAAGAAAGAAGATAAGAAACGTGCGTGAAAGAAACTCGAAACGCATGTCCGAAAGAACATGAAGACCATTTTCAGTTAATTCATATCAAAGAGATTGAACATAATTGAAACACTGTAACTACTACTCTGATTGACCAACTTTGATATGATATATAAAAATTTCAAACAAACCTCGATATATACATCTCATCTCTAATATATATATATATATATATATATATATATATATATATATATATATATATATATATATATATATATATATATATATATATATATATATATATATATATATATATATATATACTCGTCACTATTCGTGAGGTTATTGTAAGGTATTGTGTTTTGTGTGTGAATTGTATTATATCGTAGTAATTAGCAAGAGTTTCGTATGTAACCGTGTCCAATCCAGCATAATCGTTGAAAGATCTTAACTCGTTCGTAATGTTGTCACCACAGTTCGTATTATAAATTGCCACGTTTCGTCCTGGAATTAAATAAATCTCGTACATTGTCGAACGGTCATCGAAGTAAAATTATTCGGGAAGGAAAATAATACCACTCTCTTTCGAAAAATCGCAAGGCTGGCCTGGCGAATAACGGCGATTTTTAGTGAAATTCGTGGTTAATCGTAGCATAAGTCGTGAGGGGGCTATTATGTATATTTTAAATCACTATAAGTTGACCAGGCAGAGTAACCTTTGAATTACCCTTTATAGATGATTCTACTCACTTTTTGGAATGACAGTCACAAAAAATACATATTGCCACACTAAAATTTTGAAATTGATCATTCAGGAGTTCATTAGGCGATGTCTCGCCAACTGACGTGCAAGGACGATTTTTATGGTTGGTGATAGAAAATATCAATCATAATTGGTGAGAATCAACAGAGATTTTTTTTAATTAATACTAATTTCTAAACAAAAAGATAAAGTGTCTGTTTTTTGAAATATTTAACCTTATTTATCTTTGTATGAATTTAAAAAAAATGCATCATTAAAATTGACACCCGGTACTGAATTTAAACTCAAAAGCTTAAAAAAATATTGTTGACGGGCAACCCATCCACAGACCATATTTTAGCCTAAGTGTTTGAATCCTAAAGGCCTTTTTAATTTCATCTTTTCATGTTTTGGGGCAACAGAGATTTTATTTGCCTGAAGACGTTGGAAATAGTTAAGATTGCCAAACTTAAATTTTATCTGAAAAAAGTGTACTTGTGATGCAAAACAGATCAAAATTGTTATGATTTCAAACACATTTTTGTACGAAAACGGTACTAGAGATGTTATTTCAAGCACATCTTAAATACATTATGTACTATCGTAGTTTTATGATTATGACAAAGACTTGCATTCATATAATTTGACAGAGGCTCTGGCTTTGGATCTGTAATCAACTGAATGTATTTCCTCTTCAAATTTTCCACTCTCCTCTCTTTCTCTATCAATGTATCTAGAACTCTCTTCTCAAACTTGTACAGTTTGATTCTGAAATATGGAGAGAAAAGAAATGACAATATGAACTGCCAGATAGAATACTAATGAACGTAGTGTGATGAAGATATGTGTTAAATCAGTGTAGGTGATATAAAGGAATGCTGTACATGCTGCGAAAGTGATTGTGGGTGTTATGCATACATATACAGTATAAAATAGTTTGGGTTCGGGATGCAGCATTTTATCTTCCTATGGATACTTAAGATGTTCCTCGACACCTGTTCAAAGTCAAAAACCCCAGATGGGTTGTAACTATCATTACCCTCACCGTTTTCCTTATCACATACTAACTCATCGTCATTGTATAAGCACAAAAATTGGGATCGTCGGTAAGATGTTTCGATTGGTGAAGTGCAACATTTTAGGTTTGCATTTAGCCCCATTTTTTTTAATTTTGTAATTCGTAAATTTTATCAAATATTTTTTTCTAAAATAAACTCATTGGCGTTTCTATTCTTCATTGATATTTTCAATTTTTCATATACATTTCTAATTGTTGACTGGATTTTTGATAACAATTAAAAACGTTCACTAAAAATTTTCAGTTTGGCTGTCTGAAAGAATAATCCAAAATTCTTTTTCTGTTTAAATATTCGATATATATATATATATATATATATATATATATATATATATATATATATATATATATATATATATATATATATATATATATATATATATATATATATATATATATATATATATATATATATATATATATATATATATATATATATATATATATATTGCTTTTATAATCATGGCATCTTATGAAAACCCTTTAGACAGAATCCTGTGGAATCTAAAACAATCCCCCTGTGAATTAGGGTTTTATTATTTTTAGAGAAAGAATTAAGAGCCATGTAATGACTTGAACTTTTATATAGGAGCTGTGGCACGCATAGTCTCAGAATTTCTCCAAACTCTCTATGATAAAAGTCTTTGATACCATAAACTCAAATCAAGCAAAAATTGGTTGCTACGTGTCATCGTTACCATAGCAACATGTCCTAAAGTTTGAAAAATGGCATTTTTCAACATCTTCAGAGTCCCACAGTTAACGTTTGCAGCAAAGCAAACAAGTGGCAATGACTGTTTCTGAAAGTTGAGGGCCTGGTGTCTTAAATGCATGATAAACATGTTTGGTAAATCATCTATAACATACGTTACTATGGAAACAAAGTAATCAAAAGTAATCATTTTGTTCATTTAATTTTATAAAGTCATACACTTAAGAATAAAAACAATTATAGTTTGAAATGCAAGCAAATAATAGACAAGAGATCCTTGTAACATATACCAAGGGCAAAATATGATATTTCTTATAGGTTGGCAATGGCTGCCATGGTTTTAATACCATGAAGGGATTTTAAATTTACTTTCTTAGTGTTTTAATCTTATCCTATCTTTTTAAAAAGCATATTTCTATATAACTGATGATCAATTTTTAAAGGCCTTTGTGTGACCCTAATTTT